CGCCCGCGCACAGATCCCCGGGCGAAGAGGGGTTCTGGGGGGTGGAGGAGCGGGGAGCGCTCCGTCCCCAGCAAACGGGCCGCACGGCAGGGTGCGGCGCCTCGCACGCCTGCCTGGAGGGAGCGGCAAGATGCTCGCCACAACACTGCCGCGTTTCCCTACCAGGGGATGCGATGTCGCGCAGAATGCCGCGTCCCTCATCCTGGTAGCTGTCGCCTAAAGAAACCCCAGCCCGTGATCCATCGCACCTGCCCGGAGGCATCACACCGTGGCTCTGCCTGCACCGCGCTCCCCAGCGACAGAGCTGCAGTGCCATCAGCGGCTTTGGAAGAGTCTCCGGTCAAAGCCTGCCAAGAGAAAAGCCTTATGTCGAAAGGAATTATGCATATGCACGTGCTTGTCAGTAATGTAGATGATCAGCTTTGATTTACGTTGCTTTCCTGCCTCCCACCTTGCCCCAGTTTACTCTGGTCCATTATCACATTAGTATTTGTTCTAGGTGTAAACAAAGAAAAGTAACTTTCATGTCAGGCTTAACATCTCTTATCTGAGGCGCACAAACAAGCAATCACATTGGTGTACAGTACAGTTACTCCATTCTGCTAGCGCCTGGTGAAGCATTTCCACCCTTCCAGTGCATCGGACTTTGCAACTGCGTGATGAGTCAGCCACGATACGAGATTAATGTTCCCAGAGTGGCTTTGTTTCGGTGCTTCAGCAGCAGCGCACGTTTTAAATGAAACTTTGATGCAGTCTTGGAGAACGTAGCCAAAAGAATTGAACTGAGCTAGGAGACACAGCATAGGAGTGTGTCTTGAGCACGTGAGCCACAGATTCAGTCTGTGGGACCAGACCAGAGTTCGCACGAAGTGAAGGTACCCTGATGTGCTTGTAGGAGGTCCACAGCACCTACTTACAGTTACTTTACTGGAAAGATCTGTTCCTGCTGGTTCACGCTACCCAGTAATATAGACAGGCAAAGTTCCAGTAAGCCATGCTATTAATTGATCCACTTTATGTAGATACTTATTTCATTAGAGACCGCTCTCCTTTCTTGCCCTTGCTGTGACAATACAAAAAGATAATCTTATACCAAAAAGTCTTCTGCTGTAGCATACAGAAATGAAACTCCTTACATTGTTCACACAGAAGTTTGTTTTTACATTTCTGAAGAATCTTGTGCAAGCAAGCCTGGGACACACCCCTGTGCTGCAAAATTTTGTCATCCTCTTTAAGGGCATAACAACACATTCCCATTATTTGTCTTAAATTTATCCCAATCTCATCTATCTTGAACTTGGTTAGAATGTGCATAAGCTATGACAGGTTGTGCGTTTGTGATTCTCCAAGGTACACGCAAGTGCTCCTTCAAAGCAAAAGCCACGTGGACAGTGATTTAGTTTGTGGCTACTTTCATAAGGTTAGGAAACAGATAACTTGCACCATCTCTGCAGTACCAGAACATTTGCTCTGGAAGAGTTAGGAGCATAGGATTGCTTCTTTTTCAAATCAGACAGGTAAATTATTTTTTTTAAAGCATAAATAGGTGAACATTGTCTGAGATTGAGAGAGTTGTCCAAGAATGAGGTGCAAGTTTTGATACATGTCCATATTCCACCCCTAGGACAAAAACCTGCAAGTCTGTGACTTTGGCTTGGCTGGCCGTATCCTTGTGAGAGGACTGGTATTCCATGGTCTCAGTAAAGTATTTAGCACTGTAGTAAATGTGAGCCTCTTGCTCATGCACTGCTTTTTTAGTAAACACCCTTCAAAGTTTGATGTTGGAACAGATCCAGCATCCAGACAGTAATTCGTCATCTGACTTCCAAAATGAAACACGGCATCCCCAAAGTCACTTTCACATTTGAAGCACTAATTTAGTTACAACAGCTCGGTCCACCCTGGCGTGCTTTAGAGTTGCAAGCTACAAATAGCTTGTACTGACACCAAATACCACTTGGGTGATGAACTCTGACATCTGCTTGAATGAGCTCAAGGCTTGAGGTGACAAGACACTGTCTGCTTTTGGCAGTTCACACTATTCCCTCCACTCCACTCCCCCACCCACCCGTCTGCTTGTGGCAGAAAAGGCTGCTTTTGCTTAGAGTGTCACGTGTTTAGCTTTAGGTCAGAAAAAGTCTTCGGAAAGTTTGAGGTTTTCATGGGCATGATCAGAGGTAAATATAAAGCACAGCTGTGCGTCATTCTTGCTTTTGCAGTCACATGTGTGTAGTACTACGAGCACAATAGTGCCATCATAGAATAGGTAATTACTGGAACAGTTAAGCAGCTCTAGAATAAGAATATTGCAATAAAGATTTAAATATAATAACTATTATAATTTAAATCTAATAATTTAAGTTTATAAGAAACAATTATAATTATGTATATTTTATATGTATCATTTTATACACAGTAATAGAATAACAAATTTAATAGTTGAATAGTTAATTATGACTGAGGCCATGCTACTGGTAATTGTTTACAGAGGTAGGGGAGCTTAATGAGCCAATCACTGACTTTAAAAAATCTTGTTCAGAAAACTCATGTTGTTCACTCAGTTTCAAGGGAAGAAGTTACTTAAATACAACAGCCTCTAGTCAATTGTGTTTGTGTTAATTAAAGTGACAACTGTACAGAGTAAGTCTTCATGCTTAGCATATTACCCTGAAAGTTGTACTGTGCTCATTACAGCACTCTCCAAACCCCTGTCTGACTGCACAGGCCAATATTCCCTGCCATGCAGGTGCTTGTTCCACAGAGATTCACCTTTATTTCGTTATGGACAAAACTTTGTCTGATGAGCAAAGCACAAACATCTAGTGAGATGAAGGAGCATTCATTCATAAGAACTGTTAGATTCCCAAATCGTACTCCCTCTGTAAAAGGAAGTGTTTGGTTTCAGACATTACATGTGAAGGTTCATTTTGTCTCAGACCCAACACCTATATTTTAATTATTTTTCTTAGCATTTTTTCAGTCTCAGAGTTCCTCGTCTTCTTTCCAGACAGTTCTGAAAGGCATAAGATCTGTCTCAACTCTTTTGTGCCATGCTATGCTTTTTTTTTTTTTGTGAAACAATGAGGATTTTAAGGTGCAGTGCTGAACACAACCGCTAGATTCCATCATACGGTACCAGAAAAACTGGTGCAAGACTTTAGATCTTACTCTATCTTTGAGAAAGTTTTAGCATAACAACACATTCCATCTTTTAGCTTTAGGTTGGAGGTCGGCTGTTACAAATACCGTTACAGACTAGAACTAGTTGTGCTATACTACAGTGTTAGCAGATCCTGTAACCTGCCTTCTTGTCCTGTAACTTCCAAAGTGCTGTGTTTTCCTTCTAGGCACCCACTGGCCACCTTTTTCCACCTGTTTTTCCGAGTGAGTGCGATTATTACCTACTTGCTCTGTGACTGGTTCAGCAACAGCTTTGTTGCCTGTTTTGTCACTATTCTGCTCCTCCTATCCTTTGACTTTTGGTCAGTTAAGGTAAGATGGCCCTTAACAGTAATTGCTCTTGGAAGTGTTTTGTGTGCCATTAGATGAAACAAAAAAGGAAATATCTGTATAACAAAAACATTGTGATCTGTTGCTATATTAAATGCCTAGCCCATTTAAATTCACACATTTACGTATCTTAGTTGCTGTCTATCACCATGTTCTCCAAGGCTGATGGGTGCTGCTAACAGGGTGAGACAATTGCCTTGCCGTAGGTAGATTTGTTTGTATGCTTTCTGGCTTAAAAAAGGGAGATAAATAACACTAGCATTCAGCCCTGGATGCCAGAGGCCATCCCCAGCCGCAGGGCTGTGCCCAGACCCAGCACGCAGGAGCTGCTGAAGGCTCCAGGGAGCCCAGCTGCAGCCCCGGGGCCCAGCTGCCTGCAGGCAGGAGAGCCAGGCCAGCCCAGCACAGCAGCTCTGTGTGTGGAACACGGCTCGTGCTTGGTAGAAGGGCAGCGCTGGTGCATCTCCAGTGTGCTGAAAGCTTCTGGTGTTCATCCAGGCGCAGAAATAACTTACTAATTTGTTTGCTTGATTCCATGCAGCCTACTTGCTTATAATTAATCTTCCATTTCTTCAGTGTGTTTTTGCTTGTGGTTCTCCTTTCTTACTGAGGAAATGTATTGGAGGCTTCTCCAACTAACTGACTTAGCAGAGATACATCTTATGGTTTCTTACCGAAATCAATGTTATTGTGCTAATTATCACATTAGAAGAGAAGAGGCCTCTAAATTTGTGGTAATTCATTAATCCTTAATGACTATTGTGCTCAATCTGGCACAGCTTTTAGAACGAATTTTAGTATTTGATAAATGAATATGAATTTCAGACATGCTTGTCTTTCTGTAATGTTAGTCTGACAAGTGAATTATGCAACTGATTAATGCAGCTAATTGTTTCTGTCTCTAGAACGTGACAGGAAGACTTCTGGTTGGTTTGCGTTGGTGGAACCAGATTGATGAAGATGGAAAAAGCCACTGGGTGTTCGAAGCTAAAAGGGTGAGTACATTAATAAAAGGTAGGCGCAGGACAAACAGAATCCCTAGGAAAGCTTGTAAAGCTGATGCTAAGTCACATGAAGTTACAAATAGAGCACGTTTGTAACAGTTACTTTTTATCCAGCTTCTATAGAAGATAATGTAAGTATTGAGTTGCAAGCACACCAGATTGCCACATCCTGAAAGCATTCAGAACAAAGCTAGCCTTGCAGTGTTGTCATCATATGCATTAGCAGAATAAATATTCATAACATGCTACTATGGGCATGCAACGTCTCTGGTAGTTCTATTTTATTTTCTAGTGAGAGCATCTTGTAAGAAACACATCTTCCCATAGTTAATCCCAATGCAGAATCCTCTTCTGGAAAGACCTGGGCTGAAAGCGATGCTGAATAGTTCCCAGTCAATGTATGAGTAAGAATGTTGTATTGATGTTCATGGCATACGGTGGGGATTAGAACTGGGATCACAGAGCATTCTGATCCTGCTAGTGCTCCTCAAACACCCTGAGCAAAAAAGCTATAAAATGGCAGCTGCTGTCGCTGCCAGAGTGGAGGCCGCAGGGGTCTGTGTTTTCTCCACAGCCCCATTCAGGCAAGAGCCTGGCAGAACACCGCATCTGGTGCTGCTCACCAGGCCATGCCTTTCAGGCAATCCAGCTGTGTGCACAGCTGGGGACTGAGCCAGAGTGAAGTGCTCAGACCCCACGGCCCTCCGCAACGTGGCTGCACCCCCCAAAGAGGATAGCCAATGTTAACAATCTTCCTGTAGTTAAGTGAAACCTAAGGGGAGCATATCGGCAAGCCTGCACAAAAGCAAAGAAATTAGGAGATCTTCAGAGTTTCTCAGTTCTGTCAGGTTGAGACAGTAAGCAAGAGCTTTCTTAGCACTTCAGAGCAATGGCATCCATAAAATGGACCTCAAAATTACTGTAAAATGAGCAAGCCTAGCTCTCCAAAACTATTGTAATTATAATTTAATTGTAGCCCAGAAGTACAAAGTTGACTCAGCCTTAAGGCTAAAGCCTTGCAAAAATTCTGGCAAAAGGTGGCTTGATTGACATGAAAATCCTAGTACCGCAGGAGGGAACGCATAGTTAGTGGGACTGTATTTCTGTCATGGCTTACCCACAAGAAGTACTTTGTCACAGCAGGGCCCTGGAATGCACACCATTCTCTTACTTTCCAGAGCCGGGCACTCCCTGCCTCCTTGGCCAGTCCTCTGGCAGCTTCTTAAGATCTCTTCCTTTGTGGGTGAATTTACTTAGAAATATTCCAAGTTACTCACCAAGAAAACGCACCTCATTCCTGGCCTGCTGCTGGCGCAACAGAGGCTCAGCCCCAAAATCCTCTTTCACTGAGGTTGGCTGGGAGAGCAGTGACTCCCACCCCCTCCAAGCATCACAACTCCCCTCCCCTTCCTGTGGGGTGACAGCAGCCTTTTGTAACCTTACTCATCAAGTTAACTAGGTCTTTGAGGTGCAGTGTTCTCAGGTGTATTGGCTTCTTTTTTCCTAAATAATTAGTGCTAACGCAATGTCACTGTTGAGTAATTTGTCAGTAATTTGGGATACAGGTGATTAAACCCTTTTGTTGACTCAGAATATCTGTTTTTTTCTGTAACTATGAAGGCACAGAACATTATTCTCTGGACCTGTGCAACATTGCTGGTTTAGAGGGTACACCAAAAAATTAAAGAGACCTTGTAATTACTGCATCTTGCAGGGTTTTCTTAGGCAAGGTAGAGTCACTGACCCATGTTTACAAGTTGGATGCCATTGTCTGCCTCATGACGGAGTCTTATTTTTACACAGAGAATTAAAGATACTGAAAATGAACGAAGAGGCTTTTCAGTGGTCAGGGTGGAAGAGGCCACAGGGTTCACTTTTCCACTTGTGAAGGCTGTATTTCAGAAGCCAGCACTGGTGGTGGTTGAGTAGTCTGAGGTTTGCAGAGAGATTTTGAATTCTGGTCTCCTAGGAGAGTCCACATTAGATACTGTAGCTTTTCCGATAATGGGCTGATTCTCCCCCCTCTTTTGATTTGTGAGCAGGGCACACGTCACCAGTCTGTCCTACAGACAGTGAAGTGCTCACCCTGAAGTTCTGCGTGTAACGCTGTCTTCTGTTTCACACTGCTCTGAGGCCTTGGTAGAGTTTGAATCTAATTTCAAAGTTAACTTAGTATTTCTGACGCTCAAAAGCAGTTGTCAGTGTCACAGAACTTTGACTTTAAAGTGTTACTAATCTGTAGTGTCAGTGGGCGCTATCATTGACGAAAGGAATAATCATCTCGTTTAAATGTGAACCGAGACCAGAACATTTTGAAAAGAAAATGCCCTCATGTACAGCAGGGCAGCTGGCAGGAAACTACTTCTTATTCCATCTTCCTTCCATGCATGTAATAGGTGAAACTTAGGTAAAGAAGTCATGTTGTCCATTGCTCCTCCTTTACTGATTTGTTATTTATCGTGGATTTAGGTGCCTACAGTGGCTGCCTCCACTGAAGCTGAAGCTCGGATCTTTTGGCTTGGTCTCATTATCTGTCCCGTTATTTGGACGGTGTTTTTCTTTAGCACCTTGTTCTCCTTGAAGCTGAAATGGCTGGTAAGTCAGGGGTGCAGAAAGACTGACGGACAGTGTTAGCAGAGGGAAAACCCAGAACTGTTAGTTTTGCAACAGTCTTTGAACCAGATCTTCGTTCAGTGCAAGAATTCCGCCAAGCACTTCGGCAGAGCAGAGGAGGTTCCTGCAGTCGAGCCCTGCACTCGGGAACGTATCAGTGATTTTTAGCCCCACTCATACTAGATTATCGACTGCCAATGCTTTCCTCTGGCTTGAGAACCTTGTGTGGCTGGCAAAATTATGGGCTGCTTTTTAACTGTAGCAGCTCACCTTCCCGAAGGCATTTCAGAGAAAGGAAACTGAGCGGAGAGGACAAAAAACAAGCCAGTGGTGCTGGTTTTCAGGTTTTCCCATCTCCTTGGGACCTGCATGTTACTTGCTCTTGAAAGTAAGGATTTTAGACCTCTGGTACCGTTCCCTTTTGAGAGAACCAGTATCATAGTGCTTAACACCTTGATAAATTGAGCTATAAGCATGCATTTTGTAATTACTGTATTTATAAGCCATCTACTCTACAAAAAAAAGAAGCAATTACACATTTTTCTAAGTACAAGAGGAAGTTTACCCCGTATATCGTATTATGTTAAGATATTTTTGTCTATGAAATGTTTGTGTGCTCCCCTGTAGACGTGAAGTGCTTGGATAATGACCACGTAATTCATTTTGTCAAGTTCCTAGCCATGCTAAGTACCATTTGTTAATTCAGTTTGAAAAGGTAAAAGGTGTCTTGGATACGTGCAGCTACACAGCGAGCAACAGCCAAGATTACATTTTATTGCTAAATGAAACAGGAAATTCAGATATGGGTATGAATCTGCTGCAAACCGTTAAGTGCTGTCCAGTGCCCAAAATGGCATAGCCAAACAAGCAACAGCTGAAATGAAACCAGCAGCCTTTCTCCACGGCTCCGCCTGTGTGTCTGAAAGCCAGAGACGGTTTGGTTGGAGAAGGGTCCCCGGCTAGCTCGGGAGGCAGGTTGTTGAGGCACCTGCAAGGGGTGAGTTATGCACATGGAAATACCAGAGCTCAGAGGAGACCGCTCCGGATGTCAAAAAATGACCCCCCCATTTTTTGGTAAGTGATGTCATTAGTTGATCAATGGGTTGTGCCTGCTGCTAAGCCTACAGCACCGCAGATGGAGCTAATTGTTTTCGCTGCCCGTTAATGCAAGGTATTGATTCACACCTGTGGGTGCTCCCGGTCGATCTGTAAGTTACGGGATCTTCGGCGTACACGAGGCACGTGGCAGCTCCACAAGCCTGCAGGTTTGCCCTGTATCTCGGTGTGAAACTCAGAGATATGCAGCGGCTTAAAGAACTGAAATGATGATGGAATTGGCAGAGCAGGTCCTTTTTTTGAGCTTTTAGGGAAGTGGTGCGGTCTTTCAGGATACAGAAAGATAAAAAAAAAAAGGTATCAGTGTTTTGATAAAGAAGAGGCATTTTGTAGAAAGGAACTATTGTGTTTAAGTTGGGCGTGATGGGATCTCTCTGAAGGTCATTTATTACTGGAAGGAATATCCTCCTCTTACAGCATGTACGTGTATCTAATAGTATGTGTACATACATCCACACGTGTGTGCACATCTGCTGTGTGTCAAGCCTGTGTATATCGGTGTTTGTCCCAGCGGAACTTTTGTGTGCCCACAGGCTCTTGTGCTAGCTGGGATCTCCCTCCAGACCGCTAATCTGTACGGCTACATCCACTGCAAACTAGGGGGACAGAAGAGCATCCGCAGGGCGACTCCGAGGCTCTTTGTCGCAGCGGATGTTCCCAGGAGTAAGTAGGGAGCTGGCTCGACGGCTGCAGCCCGCTGGGCACCGCGCACCAACCTGCCTCCCCCGCCGCCTTGGGCTCTTCCCGGGGCTGGGCCCCCGTCACACTCTGCCCTGCTCGTCGAAGAGATCCCCCCGCGGCAGGTCACGCTAACGCGCACACGGCCTCTGTTCGCTCTGCAGGACAGGCACGGGGAATGGCGGAACACCGCGCCGAGGGGCAGGGGAAGACAGGCACTAGATAGTCAAACACAGAAACACTCCGAGGAGGAGCAGCAAGACGCTCATTTACGAAAGCTGTTCTTCATGTGATGCTATTTCAGTAAAGCTCTTCTAGAATTACGCCTGCATGAAACATGGATTTTGTCATTTGCGTTCGAGTCTTTAGAGTCTGAAAGGTTGAGCCTTTGTTACTTACTTCAGAGTTTCATCAACCAGCGGTTTGTGTAGCCACAAACCCAATACTGCTCGTTTATATATACAGAGTGCACTTCTTTACCAAAAAATCTGCCAGCTGACCTGAAGCTGTTAGGGTTCTCTTAACCAAGAATTAGAATGTAATCAAAACAGGACGGCTCATTTGTTTAATTCTGGAGCTACAATAAACAAAAGCAAAGCACCTTTTCCTCTCGTACACCATACTGATTTCTCAAAGCTTCGATTCCTCAGTAAGAAGAGGAATTACACGCCCAAAGGGCCCCTTCACTGTTAAAGATACCAAATGCTTATCTGTCAGTGCTCAGGCTTGAGTAGAAGCAAGAACCAGAGGCATGTAGCACGGTCACACAGTACCTGTGACGCAGCCATTGTGTGTAAATAGTTAAAACACGTTAATCTTATTCCGATACCTGTAATAAATAAAATACTGTACTTGTACTGTAATTAAGTTGCTTAAACTCGGGGGGGGGGGGGGGGGGGGTATTTTAAAACTGTCGCCAATTGTAAAAAAAGGAGACAACCCTACGCTGGGTTTCACTCTACAGACAGACCTTTTCCACTGAAAGGGAAGATACCTCGATGATGTCATGCAGCGAGAACGGGCATCGCAGTTTGCCCCAGCGCTGGAGGCAGGACACAGCCCGCTCTGCGTGCGTGGCAGACACACGAGACAACACCCCAACCTCACATGCAGGTCACCAGCAGCATGATAGCAGACGCAGACAGTCCCGCATAACGCCGGTGAAGGCTCAGCTTTACAGATTCCTAGCAAGCTTGGAGACCACCTCTGACCTACAAGAGTCCTGAACTATGGGAAAAAAATAAGGCAAGAACATTTATATTAAGAATTTATTTGCAATATACAAAAAGAATACATTCCTTCCATCAAATCAAGGCATAAGTTACTTCTCTATAATTAAAGGTGAACTACATTTTCACTCCATTCATAGCTTAGATAATCTTTTCTTCCTGGAGATGGTGCTGATCACAGTACTCCTGAATTCCTGCAAAGACATGGGAAAAGCAGCGCCAGTGACACTTGAGCTGTGCATCAGGAGCTCGTGACAGCTGCACCGCTCTGTTCCCAGCTGCTACCACCACCACAGCTCGGCCCGCACCCCAGCGAGAACGGTGCTGGGCATTTCCCAGCCGCCTGACTGTTCACACTGCCCACTGCCAGCTCTCAGGGGGTTTCTGTACAGGTCTCCTGTGCAGTTACAGTCACGAGTGGGGGCAACAACCCCCACTGTCACCTCTGTAACAGCTGCGCGCATCTACTGTTTGTACTGTCTGTGGCAGAGTAACCTAACTCCGCTCGGCACCTTCTGACACTGCCGCAGTGCTCAGGGCCGGGAGGATCCGCGCGCGCAGTGGTTTGCAGACTCACTTTGAATGATACTCCTGTAAGACGACGTCGCTGCGGAGTCAGGTGCTTCAGCCAAGAACGACTGGCCGCTGTCGCAGCTCTTTCCTTGAAGGACAGGGAAAAACACGAAAGCGAAGCATCAGGAAAAGGTGAACTTTTCTCTGTTTCACCCGCTATCCTGCCACCGGTCACACCCTTCTGAAGAGCCGCCTGCGCCCGTGACTGTTAGGAAGCCCTTGTGTCGGTACAGTAACCAAACTACAGCGTACAGTTTTACGGAGGGATCCTGCTAGCAGAAACCCTCAGTCGCTATTTTGGACATCCTGAGCCGTTCCTTGATGTCGTTAAGCCAAGCACTGCTCGGCACTAGCTAGAGGGCCAGGCCCCAAGCCACCCCACAGCGGCACGTGGCGGGTGCCCGCAATGCGAAGCCAAAGCGCCAGCCTTAATGCTCAGTGTCCGCAAGATGCTGCTCCTTGCCGGGGTCATGGTTTTATTCAGCCTGTGCTTCCAGGGGACTACACCAAAGAGAAAGGTGTGTGGTGCTTCAAGGGTGGTCGCACAGCTGAAGAGATGCTCATGGCAGGGGGGCTGGAACCAGATCATCTTTAAGGTCCCTTCCAACCCTTACCGTTCTATGATTCTATGCATAATCTAATCCCGATCAAGTTAAGGTCCAGGCTAAGGAAATTATCCTGGCGCTTTCGCCCCACGCTATGTTGTAGTTCCAGTAATTTTTCATTCAAAAAATGGTTCTGTCTAAAAGTGGGTATTTACCCAAGAGCTAAAATGTTTCATACTCTCACTTATCCCTGTCCAGGCCAGGGTTTTCCAGTAACAACATCCACATAGGAGGAAAAGCATGTTTTGAACGTAGCGCAATGCAGCGACTTTACCTATTCGAGGATCCAGAGGCACTTTACCCAGGAGGGAAACGTTTAAGTTCTGGCACATCTTCTCTGCCCCGCCGGTGGTCGGGGGAAAGATCTGAGATTCGTTCTGGGACAACGTGAAAATTAAAGTATTGCAGTTCTGAGAGCAAGGCGGTTTGGCGCAACGTTTTATAGACAAACATCAAGACAGAAAACGCTGCAAGATGCAGCCAGCCTCACCTGACACTTCGGGCACACAAAGCCACTCATGTTTTCCACAACGCCGATGATGGGCAGCTTCACCTTACGGCAGAAGCTGATCTCCTTCCGAACGTCCTGGAGCGACACTTCCTGCAAACATCAGGAGAGGCTGCTGTTGTGACTGTAAGGCTTTGATGCTGAGCCCATTAAGTTACATCCTCAGAGCTATTTCAAAGAAAGTTCAGGGTGAAATATTACTGCTCTCTTTGTATTCGGAAGAAGGTAAACCTGTGCTATGTGCTCCAGCGTCAGTTCTCCGAGTAGCAGCAGCCACGTACAACAGCTGTAGCCCACGGCACATGGTTGTGCTCTGAAACCTGGCTTGACTCCAGTCAGGATTCAGCCACATTCATGTTGTATCTCCTATCTTTAATCAACAGAGGAGGCAAGGACAAGAACCAGCAGGCTTACGCTTGTCCCCTCTTTTCAAACTCCACTGCAAGCAGCTTCTCTTCCCCTCCGCCTGCTCACGTGTGTGCCACCTCGTTTGGTTCTCCTGCTCCCCTCTGCAGCTCTCGCCCCCTGCCCAATACCTCCCTCGCCATCTCCCTCCCTCTGCGTTTTCCTCCTCCTCCCCCTCACCTGCGGGGTAGTGACGATAACAGCGCCAGCTATGCGCATTGCACCGAGGTACTGCACGATGGCCAGGTGTTCATCCGATGTGCCCGGAGGCGTATCGACGATCAGGTAGTCGATCTCACCCCAGTCCACATCCCGAAGAAACTGTTTGATCAACCCTAAAAGAGAGGAGAAGAATGCAGAAGAGAGAACAAAGCATCTCCCTGTATTTCCAACTTTCGGGTCTGCTTCCAGTTTTACAGCCTAGGCACGCAGAGTCTTCAGACTTGCCAGCTCAGGTACAGCAAGGCTCATTTGGCCAGGGCTTTACAAAATAACCCAGTGCAGCATCCGACCTCCTAACTTCAGCAAACGTTCAACTAAAGAAAACACGTAGACATTCACTCAGTTTTTCCTACAGCTTACTGTATATACACACACACACGCACGCACGCTACGTTTTTGTTGTTAATTACACAAGCTCAGGATACTCAGTCTTCCAGGTACATAAATTGTGGTCGAGAACGCTTGCTCCGCACCATTTTTTTTGGGTCCTCTCCAGATGACCGCGTCATCAGGACTGCTAAGCAAGAACCCCACGGACATGACGCCTAAGTTCTCTTCAACATACTGAAAGAGAAGCAGAGAGACTCAGCAGAGCGTACGGAACAGTAACAAAAGAGGAGAGAAACCAACTCAAAACCCAATTTTATAGAAAAAGCACTGTGGTGGTGGGGGGTGAGGAGAAACATTAAGAAAACAAAAGCAGAGAACCTTACACTTCTCTCTCATCAAAGGGTGCTGAAAACCACAGTTTTTGCGCAATGCTCACCAACTGCATTCACAGACTGAAAAAACCCCAGCGGCAGCGAGATTTACAGTGGTTTGCGGAATCCCTGGAGATGGCGCGAGCGTGAAAGCCGCCTTCCCTCTCCCAGCAGGAGGTCTCTGTAACAGTGCGCACACTGAAGGCGATCTCCAGGTCGCCAACACTCCTGCAAAACCTTCCCTGCGTTTTCTAGAGATGGACGAGGTGTTTCCTGGGTTTAAGGTGCTTTTTGGCTGTCACTGAAAAGGTGACATGCTGTACAGCTGCACGATGACCAATGCCGTATGTTTACTGCCCAGGGTACAGTGGGAAAGTCAGTAAACAAGAGATACTTAAGGAAGCTATTCTAGAAATGTAACAATGTGATTATAAACAAAAGAAATTTAACATCCTGATCTACAGAGCCTATATTCAGATTCTATAGAATCTAGATATCTATATAGATCTCTGTCTATATATATATATCTATATTCAGATTCTATAGAATGTGGATATTTAGGTCATTAGAAAAAGCATTCCCAGCAGTAGCCCCTGCTCCTCCCCGCCCCGTTTTCACTTTCGAAGCAGGGCCCAGCCTGCATGGACCCCCTCAACCCTCTGCACCAGTCACACCAGCTTACCACTGGAGACCAGCCGGATCCGCTCTGGTGAACCTGAAAACGGAAGCGACGCGGAAAGCTGCGTCAGAAACGCACACAGGCCTCACCCAGCGCAGGGAGGCAGCCCAGGCCCGCGTGAGCAGCCACCTGCCTGAGGCACCGCGCTGCTCTGCTGGACCCGCCCGTTCGGGGCAGCAGAAGGCCCGGTCCCGCGAGCCCGCGGGTAACAACGGCTCAGCCCTCCTACTAGAAAAGCGCCCGGGCTCGGGCCGA